CTGCGCCACACCCTGTCCCGCTGCGCCCTAGCGGGCCGGCCCGGGATAGTCATTCCTCCCGAATTAAAAGCTGGCTCCGATCGGGACTCCCGGAACCAGCCTGACGCAGCAGTTTCTGAGCAGCCCTCCGGGGCGCGGGTTAGAGGAAGGTCGGCGGCCCTGGGCGGGCCTGGGGGCGGGGACTTCTTGGAGCTGGGGGTGCCAGGCTGTGATGCACCCGGCGGCGCCAGGATGCGGGCCAGACCGCGGTCTGTCTAGGTACCTGGACCGCGTCTTCTGGAGAACCCCCGGCTGTGGGTGGGGGTGGGAGCCTGTGCAAGAGCAGAGATCTGTGCAAAAGTGGGAGCACCGCAGGCTGGTGGAGGCATTGCATCTGTCACTGGTTTCAGTTTTGCAAATTGAAGCCCCACTGATTACGCACGAGGGAAATTATTTACTTGTGATACAATATATTGGGACTTCCCCTGCAAGGTGTAAAGTAAAAGAGATGATTTTCTAGCTGCTAGAATCTAGCACTAATGGATTCTGCGTGGTGCAGGAAAGTGGAGGAAATTGTGTAATCGGGCTGAAGGATGGGTTTTTTAATTTATAGATTTTTTAAAAATTTACAAACCACTTTTCTTAGGAAAAATCACCAAGTCTTACAGTAACTTTTTGAAGTGACCACGTTTTGTGATTTTGTAATACTTTCCGGAAACGTGCATGTTTATTAACCATGTAAAATGAATAGATGGGATTTGGAGTTCATGATGCCCTTTAGTTATCCCCAACCCTGTTACAAAAGTAGAGAAGCACCACCACCTGCAAATAGGGTTTTGGTCATGTGATGGAAAGCGATCTCGGCGTTGCCAGTAATACTTAGACAGGTCAGGTGCCAGTATTTGCTAAGATAGAGTGGTTGTAAACTCTCCAGTCTAAAGGGCACAGTGAATGCCGCCCTGGAGACAGACTGCTATAAGCTGACAGACATTCACAAAACACAAGACAAATTCATTGCATTTTGTTCGCCTTTTAATGATATGTATGCATACTGCCCTATGATTGAATTTGAATACTTCTCCCATACCCCCCTCCCCAACCCCAAATATGAGGCTGTTTGCAAGCGACAGCTTAGCTATTAATATCCTGAAAGTGTAAAAAGCAAAGATAAACTTCAAACATTCTCTCAACAAATAGATATTGATCTCTCCCTAGGTGCCAGGCATAGGGGATACAGCGGTGACCCATACAAACAAATGCATCACTCATCATGGTGCTTAAAACTCCTCGTCATCAAACCTCACAAGCTCCCAGGCATTTGCCAAGCAGTTGTTATTTATGTCAACTAGTGATCATATCCCTCTGCACTGATTTTTCCCCCCCCAACTGGTGCATTTGAAGAATGCCAGGTGAAAGGACTGAATCTCCAGTCCTATCAATTGCCCCGCCCTTTCTCTTTCCCCCTCTCTTCCCTCACCGCCTTCCTGTTGGCCTTCTAACAGGAGAGGCTTGATCCTTTCCCAGAATAGTTGTACTTGCGCCTCCATCTGTCTACAACACTCAACCCCCAGATGTCTGGATGGCTGATTCCAACCCCCCCCCCCACCCTTTTTTAGGTCTCTGCTCA